ACAGAATAGGGGAGGTTGCGGATGACGAAGCGTGTCATCATCCGCACCGCCTAGCCGACAAAGCCGATGGTAGTCGGCCAACCATAGCTCGGGGTTGGTCTCGCCACAGCATTTTGAGAGATTCACGACCGCCGACGAAACCGAAAGGAAGCGGCGCTGCGGATGGCCTTTATCGAAAACTCTAGGGCCAGCGGCCAGGGAGAAGGACCGCGGTCCTCCCCATCATCATAGCGACCGCCTCGGTGCACTCGGTAGCCCCGGCGGTCCCATCGTGGTCATGGCGCCGTCGTCTGCCGCCCATGTGGTGGCCGTTTTGCGCCTCACGTTGGTCGTCGAGGCGGTCGTGCACCGAGGCGGCCCTGAGGCGGTCGTGCACCAAGGGGGCCCTGAGGCGGTCGTGCACCGAGGGTGCTTTCGAGCGTCCCGCGTCCGAGACGCGGAACTTTCGCCCGCCGCACCGCGGCAGCCTCGAGAAGGCCCCGGAGTTCGCCGTGGACTCGTCGCCCCTCCGTGGTAGAGGGCTCGGGCATCGCTCGGACTAGTATTGTCGCCGCAGCGACATTCTGGCTAGCGCGATTGAAGACAAGGGGTTGCTCACCCCCTTCATCATCGTTAATGCGGCGGTTGACGTCGCGAGCCCCCAGCCGGGCCGTTCCGCCATCGCCACGCCCCGTACCGCTTCTTGCTCGAGGGTGGCTCGGAGTTGCTGCAGGGAGGAGTCGATCTTGCTCGACCTTGGCTTGAAGCTCACGGAGCTGCTCCAGTCTATCGTCGAAGTTGCTCGGGGTGGGGATACCGCCGCCGCTTGGCGGGACCCCGTGCGTGGTGGTGTGGCGTTATCGCCCTTCCTCCATCGTTGCCCGTGCTTTCGGCATTCCGAGTCCGGCGTGGAAACACTCACGAGTCGGGTCGTGTCGTCCTCGCCCGTCCGGAATCGGAATGGCCAAAGCGATGAGTCGCTGCGATCATGAAGCGGTGCATCGCCTCAGGGTCACGAATCCTGGAGAAGTCTACTCCAACCCACGCCTCGTCCTCCTCCGAGGAGTCAGAGTGGGGGTGGATTGGAGTTATGACTATAGGGTTATGGGCATGACGTTGATGCATGGAGACGAGGGCGGTGGCGTAGGAGGCGGTGACATTGGTCAGCCTGAAAGGGTACGGGGATGGCGCCGTCGCCATGCTCTGCTCCGTCAGAGCTGGCTCCTCGGGAGGAGGCGGGATAGAGCTTGATGATGGGGTGTCATTGTGCGCCACCGCCCTTTTCCCTGCCGAGGCTTAAGCCGGACAGTCCCCGTCAGGACCACAATGCGGCCAGCCGGGTATGGGATTCCGGTGGAGCACAGATCGGCGTTCGGTACTTGCGTGGTGTTAGGGTGGACTCACCCACGCGGTGCTCGGCGAGCTTGACGGGAGCAGCGGCCCGGGCGCCGTCCGCGCGTGGGCTGTCGGTGCAAGACATCATCGTCGGTTGATGGCGCTCTGGGTGAGAGGAGTACCATGTCATACTCGTGCCCTAGAGACATGAATTCTAGGCTCCCGAACCAGACGATCGTCCCGAGACGCAACGATCGCACGGGATCTCGCCATCCGAATCGGTGGGATGACTAAGTCGACACGCAGAGGCCCCTACCTAAGCGCGCTAACTGGTGGTGTTTTAACCGGGGTCCTTAACCGACTAGTGAATTTGTCTTTGCGTGCTCCGATTCCGGATGGAGATGCAAAGAGACACAAGGTTTATAATGGTTCGAGCAATGGATGCCCTACGTCCGGTCCGAGAAGGTGTTCTTGTATTCCTTGCACCGGGTGCTCGTAGTAGGGGGGGTTACAAGCTAGGCGAGAGAGGAGTTCGTCCCGTGTCTCTGTGAGGGGAGGTGATATGAATTACGAACGAGGCGTGTTGTTCGTCTGCGAGTATCCGTGATTCTATCCGTCCGCCCTAGAAACGGTCCCGCCGCCTCCTTTTATAGCCGCAGGAGGAAACCAGAGTACATAAGAGAGCTACATGTGGAGCAAGGACTATTCGATGACGTATTTACTCCTAGAGCAAAGATGGCGTTGTCGTGGGAGTTCCCGTAGATGTCTAATCGGTATGGTCTTCACTCGCAAGTAACATGCCGCGATTTGTTGACTTGGTGGATTGCAGAGGCTCGGCGGCCATCATAGCCGGTCGTGCCGAGGCTGTCGTCTGAGGCTGTTGTCCGAGGCTCTGCGTGTCTTGAGGCCCCGAGAAGTGACCAGTGCGAATCGGGTCTCGCAGCCATCGGCGAATAGTACGAGACGTGCGCCTCTGGGATACTGACCTGTATTGTCGATGAGGATGGTAGAAAAGGTGATCGACCGTTGTCCGTCGCTCCTGCTTCTGCAGCCAGACCGCCGATCGTGGCTTACGAAGCGGGTGCAAATGAGCGCGTTAATCGGATGTGACGACTGCCGGAGACTTTTGAGGCGGAGGCGACGGTTATGGGACGAGCCCCGCCTTGGCGGCGGCGAGCGCGCGCCAATTGGTCGTCAAGGCCCTACCGGGGGTCTCGGGCGAGGCGACGACGGGCGAGGCGGAGTAAGATCGATGGATCCGAGGCCTGCCGAGGGGGCTCGGCGGGACGGAGCGGTCGGTCCGCCGATTCCGAGGCTCTGAGAACCCGCTCGACTCCCCATGTTGCGATGTCCTTGGTGCAGGAGTTAGGCGACACGGATGGTCGGTAACCCCTACTCTGCGCGCGCAGATGGCAGGGGGTTGACGCGACTGGCGTGTAGTCGGTCACTTCGCTGTACTGTGCCATCGTGCGTTTGTCGGAGTGGTTGGGTGCTTGGATGCGACGTTCGGTCAGAGCAGTTCGGTTGAAGAGGCGACCACGGGGCTAGTGCCGAGCCGGCCTCGCGCGAATCGGCACTTCTTCCGAGGCCCCGGGCGAGAGGGTCTCGACGAGGGGGCCTCAACGCGGGGGCCTCGGCGAGGCGGTCTCGGGCGAGTCGGAGAATCGTTTGCTTCCGCTGGGGCTCGGCGACGGGGTCTCGGGCGAATCGGAGATTTCGGCCGAGACCTCGTTTGTTCATTCTGTTGGTTCTGTCTTTAGGGTCTAAGCAGTTTTTCGATCTTTGCTTGGGGTACCCCATTTTCTGGTATCCGACAGCTACGTATATAGATATATTATTATATCTAGATGCTTATCAAAATAGATGTATCAAAATAGTCAAAACGACTTATAATTTGGAAAACAGGGCATACCTAACTCAAACAAACTCTCCCTAAAAAAACCAGGTCTGACAAACTACGGCCATACGTGACACACCACTACATTAATTTGTTACGCATTTGGATATAAGCGGACTAGTATAGCCCTCAACCCATATATGGTCTTGTTCGGCTGCTCATATAAGGTGGCTTATTAGTCATGATACAGTATTTTTTTCCTCCCAACAAATCAACCATACAAATCAGCTCAAGCGACTTATAGACCAATCGAAAAGGCCATATGTGGTGACCTATGACAATCCATATAATCAACTCTATAATTACGTGTTAATATAGCCTCTTCAAATTTGATATTCGTAGTGCTCATGTGTACTGACGGACAATCTGTTCGCATAGGACAATCCGTCAGAGCCAAACCCAGTCGAGTGTAAGTCTATAAAATGCACAAAAGAAAAAAACGAAACCTTACCTACAGGCGTCGGCAACGGTGGACGAGGTGTGGACAGCGGCCGGGAAGGTGGGGCCAGCAGAGGCGGCGGCCGGCATGCCCGGCAACACGCGCGCCCAGCCCCGGATTCCCCTCTCTCGAGCGCGGACCAGGCGGGGACAGTGGCGAGAGCGAGATAGATGTGTGAGAGAGAGAGAGCATGCGTAAGAAAGAAAAAGGATGGTAGAAATTTTAGCACCGGCCAGCCGCGAGGAGGTTGGAGATTGTCGGCCTCTGGATGGCCAATGGGCCTATCGGCACAAACAGGATCAGCGTGGATCCACGTAGTGGGTCTTGTCGGCTTTCCAGAAGCCGACATGGTAATAAATTTATAATTTATTTCAAACAACAACAAGATTTGCAATTAATTAATAAAAAAAATATTATTTTACAAAAAATTCCAGTAACCTGTGCACATACAGTCCTACCTATATCCTCTTCGCCAAGGTAGAACTGAAGTTTTGTATATATAACTGTAAAATAATTTTATTTGTTGGTCGAACATTGTGCAAAGTGCAATCGATTCGACCCGCTTCCTCTTCAACGCTGTGCGCCGCGGCAACCCGGCCGAGTCGCTCGAGCACCACATTCCAACCCGCGCACAGAGCACGCAAGCGGCCCGCTAACCGATCATGTGCGCTCACGCAGACGCAGGTACCTCACTGCTTCTGAGGTGTTTCCTCATGCTCATGGGCTCAGGGTCAGGGCCGGCAATTTGATTCAAGACGTTGACTTCGTGGAACTAGGAACTTCTGAGATCATCGGATTACCGGCAAAAGCAGAGTCCTCTTGTTTACACGCAAATGATCAAATACGTTTCTCTACAGGAAGCGCTATAATCCAACATACAACTTTACCATGCATATATATTTCGTTGGGTAAACTGGTGGAAGTCAATCGTGCTACTTGTACAAGAATTTCTACTGTAGTGTATGTATATATTGAGAAGGGTCTGAAAAAACCACTCTCTTATCATGCGACAAAATAGAGCACGCCGTGCCAAGGCTCCGTTCGCTGGTCTAAAACTTGACTAAAAAATACTGTTCCAACTGAATTGTTGTGAGAGAAAAATCTTCATCTGTTTTGATAAACAGTAAACTGAGAGAGGAGAGCAGCCGGCTGGCTGCTCAAACCAGACCAGCGAACTGCCCGTCTTGCCAGTGAACGCACCCCACAGTGGCTGTGAGCCTGTGAGTGTGCCCGCATCCTCGAGACATCACTCCCACCGGCCCCGGCTCCCCGTCGGCCAAAACCTCCTGCATGTCCTGGCAGGCGGCAGCGGAGCGGAGGCCGGAGGGTAGCAAGGCGCCAAGGCAAGCACTAGAAGGCGGCTGCCCTGTCCTTGACGACGACGTCCTCCACCTCCCTCCTCATGAGCTTCTCCTCCTGCTGCCTCCGGCAGAAGACCACCCAGGCGTTCACCTCCAGCGCGACGCAGGCGCCCATCAGCGTGGCGAGCGCCAGGCAGTAGCCGAGCTTCCAGTAGGAGGCGCCGAGCCCCATGACCTCGAAGCCCTGGAAGACGTTGACCACCCCGACGACGACGCAGCCGTACCCGACCAGGTGGTGGTACGACTTCCAGTACTTGCGGTACCTGTTGGTGGTCTTGGGCCGGAAGAACATGGCCAGCGTCTGCAGGCTCCCCGCCGTGGCCGCCGCGATGCCCAGCCCGCGGTGCAGCTTGTACGTGACGCCGGGCGACGCGGAGCCCATGACCAGGCCCAGCGCGAAGCCGGCGGCGCCCAGGGTGTACCCCGTCGCCTGCATTGCCGCGTGCGCGTAGAACCACGCGGGCCCCGTGGACGCGCACGGCCGCAGGTACCGCGCCACCGCCGCGCCCACGGGGAGGAGGAGCCCCCACGAGAGCGCGTTCAGGGAGCCGTGCAGCCACTGCAGCGCGGTGGAGGCGATGGGCGACGCCTCGGTGGCGGTGGTGAGGATGTCCACGGTGGCGTGCGACGCCAGGTCGGAGGCGTCCATGGGGTGGATGGTCGGGGAGTAGCCCTGCACGTACAGGCCCCGGTTCCACACGAAGTGCACCCTGGTGCGGTTCGGGGACAGCCGGATGGTGGCCGCCACGGTCACCCTGGCGCCGTCGCGGACGGTGAGCGCGGGGGTGACGAACGACGCGGAGGACGCCAGCAGCGGGATGTCCAGCGGCCGGGACACGAGCGGCGACGCCTGCAGCTTCACGTCGGGGGAGAGGAGGAACGGCAGCGCCAGGAGCGCGCCCGTGGACGGGTCGGAGAAGGCGGCGAGCACGCGCGCCCCCGTCATCGCCGGCGCGTCCGCGTTCACGCCCCAGGCCACCCAGCCCGACGGCGAGATGAAGGAGCCCGTGAACGCGGCGTCCAGCGTCGCGTTCCGCGCGTCGTAGGTCCACGCCAGCGTGGCGCCCTGCGTCGGCAGGGCGATGCACTTGTCGTACGTCTTGACGGGCGTGGACGTCGTGCACCGCCCGGCAGCGGCGCCCCACGCTCCGTCGGGGAGGGCGGCGGCGGCGACCACCGCAACGAGTAGCAAGCCGCGCGTCTGCCACATTGCTGCGCAGCTGTGTCGAGTGGCGCGAACAGGCTTAGCCACACGGTGACACGGCCACACCCACGACGCCCCGAGCTAGTGGGCCGTGAGGTTAAGGTGCGCGGCGTGTGCTTAGTGTGGCTTTGTTTGCGCGCGTAAGTGGGGGTTTTAGTGGGGCGTTTCGGGGTGTGAGTGTGATGATGGCTGTGAGATGTGCGTTCGTTGGTCGCCTTTTGTTTCGATGGCTTCTTCGCTTTGAAGGCAAGGGACGAAAGGCTCCAAAAAGAAGGCTATATAGCACACTACACGCGCGCGTCCTGTGATGTGTGATCTGGATCTGCTGTGTGCAGTCCACTGGCTGTGTGGTGCCGACCCTACTAGCTTGGCCCAATGGCCCCATCCTTGGCAAAGAGCGAGCTTATGGATAGTTGTTGGTGCAAATTGAAGTAGTGGTCGTCTGGTCGACTGAACAGTGACAATTGCACAATGCTGCTAGTCATCGATATACAGTAGTAATTAATATTATACATATGCTTGACACACCTTTAATTTGGGTGTAGTAGTGACCAGCTATGGAGAACTCGGCAATGATTGCGTGCATACACTCGTTAAGGTTAGGTGGTGTGGCGTGGGCTGATGCCAGCAGCGGAGTGGTGAGGGTGATAGATGTGATGCGATGGATTCGGAGAATGTTTTGTTTCCAGCTTGAGACTCGTGTTCATGCGTGGCTATGATGGCCCTCGTAATTGTTGGCTTCAAAGGCACGGCTAGGAGATCGTGGGATTTCGGTTGGGAAAGCGCTGAGTTCGTGAAGAAAGTAGCATGGGGTGCATGGAGTATAAAATTCGGTGCAAGTTTTCAGCAAAAAAGTGTTTGTATTTTATATAGACCAGTAGATACGCAGGTGCCACATGTTCTATGTTTATGAAAGCCATATCCACCCCGTTCGGCTGGTCATGTTCCAACTTGTTCTAGCTTGTTTCAGCTTATTCTCTCTCACAAAATACTATTTATTCATCCAAAACCATCCGTTTTCACTGTAGCGCGGACCAGCCGAAATCATATGCAATGTGAGAATGTTAATTTTTTTTTTGACAAGCCAATTCTTATATATGTCATAAAAATATAATTCACAATGTGAGAACGTTAATGAATATAGTGAGAAGGAACGATTCCACCATACAACAGGTTCTATCATTCATTTCACAAGGGAAACGGCAACACCCTTTCGCCAAGGAGAAATTAGCTTCAGATATTAGAAAACCGGTAACATGCAATGTAATTAACAATTGGAAGTAGATATCATCGAAGGAGATCTTGGTTCACGAAAGATTGCCGGCCTTACCAGGAGGGACCAGGTGCCTGATAATAACTGGGAGCAGATGGCAGAATGACATTCTACACAATACCGGGAGGGTATACATTTTTATTTGATAGGACGATGTACTTTTGTTTTTTCTGCATAGTCATTGCCTTTGTTTTTTCCATGATGAATAGTGAATATGGTAACATCAACGATGCGTTGTGAAGTAATTTCCATATATTGGTAGTCCAAGTTAAAATATTCTGAGCAGACAGAATCCTAAAACAACCTAAATTTGGAATTTGGAATCAGAGGGAGTATGAATTTGGATTCTGATCTGATGTGGACAAAATGGATTATTTTTCTGTTAAAGAGTTGTTTGAATGCTATATTTATTAATACCTTTTAGCAACTGATAGTTACCTGTTCATCACCTATGTTTGTTTTAAAGTGACAAGACAAGAACATACCAGATAAATATAACTGGGATATAAGCATTCGAAATGTGATTAGTAACCATATCACACTTCTCTGGAAAGTAAGATGGTTATATTCTATCGATAAGCCTGCTTGATGATACAGACAGATATCAAGCAAGCTCAATCTCAGGAAGAAAGTAACTTCTTAAATGAAGATAGCCGACACTGGAACAATCTAAACTCCAGAATCTGAGTACCTCATTCTCATTGCAGCTACTTCATCCTTCATTGCCTGACAATATTTTTCAGCAGTTTCTACTTCGTTTTCCAAACTGACAAGATTAATTCCTTCATTCAATTTATCATGTACATTTGAAATGAAAGCTTGCTTCTTTCCATCCAGATGCCTCTCCATCGTTTTTATGTTGCCTTTCAGTTTATTCAGATGACTTGAAAGAGACTCAACTACGTTGCCCTCCTCTTCCTCACGAGCATGCTCAAGCCTTGCTCTAGAATCTTGAAGCTTCCTAAGCCTGATTTGTGGCTCCTTTAAGCGGGCAATGAGATGCTTCACGTTGAAACCCAGTTGCTCTAAATGCTGGGCTTTCTTCATCAGATATGTAATTTCAGAAGCATCTGTATCACATGACGTCCTGAGCACCTCCTTAGCCAAGCCAATTAGCAAAAACCATAATCCACTGTAAGGTAGATCTCCTAAAGTTTCATCATAGTTCACGAAGCCTCTGTAATGTGGTTTTTGAGGAATGAACTCAAAGAACAGAGGGTACTCCCTCATGGCTGCTTCAGCATAGGGGTCATTGTTGCTTTTCTTCAGGGTTTCTCGCTTGCTTCCACTTACATCATCTTCATCCGAGCTTTCCTCCCATTGCGAGAGAAGCCCGGAGCGAACATACTCTTCCAGTTCTAGGACAAGTTGCATGTTATGATGTTCTGGATTAGGGGCACTCTGTTCCTCATCATCATCATCCAGGTTTATTACTTCACATTTATTCTTGGGCTGTTCGAGAACAATACATTCATCATCGCTGTCAACTTGTGCCAACTCGTCACATTTCTTAGAATCAGAATTTAGATCTTCTTGCAGCGAAGAATACTTCTGACCTTCCAATTGCAATGGACTCCTTTTCGTGTTAATTTCTACTTTGCTTTTCTTCTTATTATTACCTCCATCTTCAGCAAATTTATCTCTTTGTTTCTTCTCCTTCCGTTTCACTGAAGTAGTTCTGCTGTCCTTAACACAAGTAGCAAGGCCACAGACAATCACCTTTGTTTCATTCTCATGACTTCCATTATCCATTATCCCCAGCTGCTCTTCTACAATGTAATTGATCTGGTCTCTCTTAGTGACTTGTGTAAGAAATTGATCAAGTGCTGGCACTGCATCACATTTCTCACTTACATTCAGTTGCGACGAAGTAGCCCCATTTTCATGATCTCGTACCACCGAGCAACCATATTGATCATCATCTTGATGCTTGTAGAACCGCCCACTGCTGCACCATGCAACATAATCTTCACCAGGCATTCCGTATCTACTGATACTTGGTATCCACAACTCGGTTCCCACAAAGTAAATTTCCCTGGCAATAGACACAGGAGCAGCCTGATCATAACCAAACTGTCTCGCAACAAGCTGTGGATTGTACAGTACTGAATTGTCCGTGTCATCACTATGAAACCCAGTCAACATTGTTTGACTGATAACAGCAATGTAATCCAGCAACCACTCTGGCTTATCTTTATCATGACAGGTCACCAAAATGGTGTGCATATTGAACCACTTGGGATCCATCCAGTTCAGGGAGTTGTACCGATAGGGCTTCCACTCAAAGCATACTTCGTCCAGCAAAATCTTTAGAACCTCCTCGGATGTGCTCGTCTTCTTCCTCCGGCTCCAATGCAATACCCTGACATTGGAGATGGGGAACTGTGGCGCCTTCAGCTCAGGCGGGCACAGCCTCTTGTAGCGCTCCCACATCCACACCTGCAGCATCCAGAGCGGCACATAGACATCTAGACGGCCACACACCCCACTGTCCACAGCGGAAGCAACAATCTTATCCATTTCCGCATATAGATTTGCTACCATCGACTGGCCAAGGGCAATGCGCTCGCCAAGACTAAGCCTCGCAGCAAGTGCGAAGACGCGCACCGGCAGCTCGCCACCCCTCGACCGCAGCCTTGGCGTGACAAAAAAGGCGAGCCAGTAGGCGAGGAACCCAAGCCGCCGCAGCTCGTCGTCCTCTCCGGGCCGTATGCCACCGCCGTCGAACCACTCGAGCCATACCTCCGCCGACACGCGGCGCGCGGCGCGGGCGCAGGGGTGGAGCTCCTTGATCTTCTCCCTCTCGACGACGAGGCGGACGCGAAGGTCATCCTCCTCTGGCGTGAGGGTCCGGTCCAGCGGCGCGCCGGCGGGCGGCAGACCAGCGAGGACGAGCGCATCCTCGAGTGTGAAGGTGGCGGGGCCCGCTGGGAGACGGAATGCGTGGGTACCCGGGTCCCAGAGCGAGAGCAGAGCAGAGAGGGCCGCGCGGTCGGGGGAGACAGCGGCGGTGGAGGCGGCGACGGCGCCGGAGATGGCGGACGAGGCGAGGATGGGCGCGAACACGGGGTCGCGGAGTGCGGCGGCGACCCAGGAAGACCAGCGTGGACAGGTGCTGAGGTAGCGGAAGTTGAGCGGCGGGATGGCGTGCGGCGGCGAGGAGGGGGGCGGCGGTCGCGGCGTTGTGGTGCGCGGGGCAAAGGGGAGGGGAAGGAATGAAGGGGGCTTCGGATCGTGGAGGCGGCGGCCGTTGGAGGCTCGCATTTCTCGGGTACGTTGGCCGCAGTGGATTGGGATGGCCTGCCGAGCAACGGCCGGCGGGCAGGCAGATTGGCCGGAGAGATGAGAAGTTGGGTGGGAGGGATGCCCGGAGATTTGGGGGGTTTGTGAATGTTTCTAGGGCTTTAGGTTTGGAAGATGGAAGGATGGTGCGGGTGGGGATGGCAAAAGGCCAGGGAAGGATGCGACCCAAATTGGGCGGGACATTTCTCATTTACATTCAGTTGGGCGGGACAGGCCCAAAGACGGAAAGACCAGCACAAGGATATAAGGTGGGCCCGCTTCTCAATTAAAAAAACCTTCCTCGTCTCCTCCGCTCGGCCCGACGCATCTACGGAGTATTCTGCTTCGGCAATCGGCACTAGACCGCCGCTCGCCGACGCCGCTCCTCCCTCTGCTCCCAGCGCCGCCCGCCCCCGCCTCTCCCTCACCCGCCGGCCTCCGCGCAAGAGCCGCGACCCCGTCACGTCTGCCCGCGTGGGAGCCGCGGCCGCGTCGATGTCCACCCGCGCGAGAGCTGCGGCCCCTTCGACGTGCGCCCGCACGAGGACTCTCCGTCTTCGTCTCTCTCCGAGTGTGGGATTGAGCCGGCTTTAACCGCCTCATATCTCACACTCCGGGTGTCGACTGCCGAATTGAACCCCTGATTCGATGGAGGCGTCCGAGGCAGCACCGGCGGCGGCGGCGGCCGCTGCCGTGGAAGCAGAGGATGTGAGCGGCGGGAAGGGCAGCTGGTACGTGCTCGGGGAGCGTGCGCTGATGGTGCCGTACATGCGGCAGCACGTGCCGCGGTACCACGACTGGATGCAGGACCCGGCGCTGCTGGAGGCCACCGCGTCGGAGCCCCTCTCCCTCTCGCAGGAGTTCGAGGTTCACCGCTCATGGACCCTGGACCCCCTAAGTTCCGCACCGCACCCCTCCTTCCGGTTTGCCTCGATCTAGTTCTGAGCTGTTGTGATTGATTCGGTCGAATTCCTTTTTGCTTGCTTGTTTGTTCGCAGAGCACACTTTCATAGTGTTGGATAAGGACTTGATAGAGGGAGAGTTCGTGCCTGGCAACCCGCACACTGAAGGTTCATTCCTCTGTTCTGCCCATTAGCTATCTGTTAACTGTGACTTTTGTCAATTTTGTAAGGGATCCCAAAAATCATGCCTTGGTAATATATAACCTAAATTCGTGCTGACTTATATGCATTTGTTCTTCTGTTCTGTAGATCATATAATCAAAATTTATGCATTTGTAATCGGCAGAGAGCATAACCCTAATGAATTTACAGAGTTTTTCACTTAAAGTGTATGCACGTTTTGATATATGATTTTGCTAGGATGATTGTTCATCTGTAGATTGAAATCTTTCGAACACATTATGCTAGTGATCCTGCCTTTTTTTTCATTTATCAAGGACATGACAGTCTTTATTTCTTTTGGTCCCAATGACAACAATATGGTATGTGACATGGATATCGGTACACAATCCAAGTAGGGTACTCTGAATATAGTAGAATGACAATTGGAAATCGAAGTTTCTTGTAGCTTTGGTTTGTGAAGTTCCCATTTCAACAGCTAAGTCCTATTTTTTTCCTCGAATACGCAAAAGGCTTGCGTATCATTGTATTAAGATCGAGAAATAGTTAGATTACAACGACACGCCATTCAATGGCGCACTAGGGGGGCACATGATTTTACAGAAAGCTTATCCCCGCCTAGCAGACTTTTCGCAAGGTGATTACTCGTGCACGAGACAACCTAGTTTCGGCGCCCCGGCGTCTATCCACTGGTCTACCAAGTGCTTGATGTGCGTGAGGATTTGCATAACCGTGGACGGGGCTTGGCGAAAGCACCTTCCGTTCCTCTCCTTCCATTTTGTTTCGACCAGGCACTCAACGTGTGGTCTTACATCGTGCACAAGCGTTGGAACATTGTCGCGACGGGCGCCGGTGTTGAGGCCGCGCACATTCCAGCATAGTATGGTTGCGCTATCCATGAAAACTGTTCAACCGTTGCTCGTAGCGGGACATCACGCGCGCATGCACGCGCGGCGCCGCGGCCGCTCCACCGGACCAGCAACCAAGAAGAGTTCTCTCATGGCCTCTGCGTGCGACTCGCTTAGCTGATCAACAAAGATGCTGTCGTACACTTGTTTGCTGGCTGTTGACGGCTTTGCTCGGTCTTCCATCATGCCCATGAGCTTCATGACGAGTATCTCGCCTCGCTTTGAGGCTGGCACGCGGGACAGTGGCTGGGCAGCAATCCGTCGGCTTCTGGTGGGCATGAACGCCTTTGGCTGCTCTGGCTCAGGAACCGCGAGTAGTGGAGATGGCACCTTCCGCAGGATTTTTGCGGTGAAGCGTTTGAGCCGCTGAGTCGCCAAGCTTCCGCGGCTGGCCTGCGCCGGAGGCGGTGAGACGAGGGGGTCGTCACCGCCGTGGCCGTCGATCATGGTTGGCCTGCGTAGGGCTTGGGGTGCTCGCGATGGTCGTTGCAGCCACCAGGGGATCATCCTGGACGCGGGGTGGGCCAGAAGTGGCTTTGACGGGCTCAACAGCTAAATCTTATTTGTATTTAGTGCTCTAGTTTTGATTCATTGATTGCCAATAGCTTGCATTTTTGTGCTAACACTGATATCTACCTTGTCCATTGCAGCTATGGTTGGTGATGTGAACATATATATGAATGACTCTGATGATATGCAGATCGCGGAGATAGAGATCATGATAGCTGAACATAAGAGGTACCTTCCCTATAATACTAAATTACTAATCATGTCACTGTTTTTATCATCTTTGACATCTTCTCTGCATTTGTATTGTTTGCACACATTTTTACTTGGCTTTAATAATCCAATGTGGACATCTTACTTGGATATTTGTTACCTGAATATTTTTGTTGAGAGATCAAACAAATTGTTGCAGCTAATTTATTAGTCCTTTTAACTTTCCATTGTCAGTTGCTTCACTAACCACATCAGTAGCGTAGCATAACCTTCAACTATGTGATAATCCAGTGCAATTATGCTATCTCGTGGCAAATGATTGTGTACTGCTGTACTGCAAGACAGACAAAATCTACTTATCACATGAATCTGTTCTCTATCTCATTTGCTCCTTGGCTCATGGTCCCTTTTTTTTGTCAGGATCTTGTTTTTATGTAGTGATAAAGTAGTTGAAGCAATAATTACATGTCACATGAAAGTAAAGTAGATGCTGAACTAGGGATAAAAAGGGGATGTTTTGCCATGAGACGGAGGTACTGTCTGGTCGTGTTAACTAAAACTTCCACTTTTCCTTGTTGCAGCCGTGGAAAGGGAATTGGTCAAGAAGCAATCTTACTGATGATGGCATTTGCAGTAGAGAAATATGGAATTCACACATTCAGGGCAAAAATTAGTGAATCAAATACGGCATCCCTTAAGCTCTTCAGAAAGTTGGTGAGCACCCTCATTTGTCGTATTCTTGTTTGGTCGCTAGTTTGCTTGATCAGAATTATATTTCTTTGGTTTGGATACAGGGCTTCAAGGATGCTTCATACAGTGCGGTGTTTAAGGAGGTATGGACTTGACTCGATACTTAATCTCACTTTCACAAAGAATCTGTGAGCATTACAAAGAAGTTCATCAGCATTGATGTGCCCTCATTCTTATAGCAAGTAAAAAACAATAGTATTCGTCCGTCGAAATACCAACAATCACTTTAAATCCATCTAAAAGACATCAATTAGTCAAAACTCATATATTCCTTTCAGGTGACTCTGGAGGCAGCTGCTGACTCACTCCCGTTGAGATTTCCTCTAACCATTGGAGACTGGTGACGTCTGACATGCCCCAAGCTAATTCCATGCGGACGGCACAAGAGGCTGATGCTGCTTGTTTGTACTCTCTGACCAAAATTTACTCGGGCTGATAGTGTATGAAAAATTGAATAAAACTGTTGCACAGTTGTGATTCAATTGCATTACGGCATCATGGAACGGGTTGCAGTAATCTGCAGGCAGCATATGGTGTTGAAATCAAACTGGATATATCATTATGTTGCTCACTCATGAATTATGATACGATTTGTAATTCTAGCTACTGTCACTGGTGTTTGTGCATATTTTATCCTCAGCTACAATTTTTTTTTCTACTATGAGCTACGGTTTTTTCAGGGTGTGAGCTACGATTATTATATTAGCCAGAAAAAAACAGCAGACATGGTTGGTTTGGCACTTGGGCTCGTAGTTGTCAAGCAGCCCAACCAAGCCCAGCTAATGAGGGATGACATACCGGACCCACGCGTCAGAATCGGTCCTCCCCATTAGCACTCCCAAGTCCCGACTTGGGTACAAACCCTTGGGCCTGGCCGCCGCACCCGCCCGGCTGGGCGAACGAAACGGGACAAGATAACGAGACAGCAAGGGGGGAGCAGGGAGCCAAGCCAGGGTTCAGCCACTCAGGAAACAGAGAAGATGGCGGCGAGGCGCGACACCGAGTTGGACGGCGAAGAGCTCGGCGCCGAGGGCTCCAACCCCGTCGGTGGTGGCGCGACTCCGCCGCCCCTAGCCGCAACCCCTGTCGTATGCGTCCTCCGCTCCGCTGGGGACTTCGCTGGCGGCGCCTTCATCGGATCCGTCTTCGGATATGGTACTCCGCCCTACTGCCCTTTTCGATTATCAGGGGCCGTCTGGATATTTTCTGCTTTGTGGAATTTTGGTTCTTAGGGCACGTAAAGGATAGAAACACCCTTTTCCCCTACTAGTATATAGTAGTATTTGCCCAAATCATGGCATAGCAAATTAGTATTTTAGCCCTCCTCTGTAGTACTGTTCCCGGTTATAGCTGCATCTCACACGAATCACATGACCACTTAATTTGAAATTTAGATCATTGTTTTATTTGTACAGTGAGCCCCTTATCGCTCTAGTTGCGAAGAGTGCAATCAACATGGTTTAAGTTTTTTAGTTTTACACTAGTGTCTCGTTCCCTTGATATAAAATTCCTTGGATTCCTTCCTTAGGACAAGGCTTGCTCTCTAAGAAGGGTTTTAAGGGCTCATTCAGCAATGCAGGGTCCTCTGCCAAGGTTCGTTTATCATAGTTTTTGTTTCTTTGATGAAGAAATTGTGATGTGCTTTTCTGACAGCTGTTCATATAACACAAAATGTCTTGGATTAGACTTTTGCAGTTCTCTCTGGAGTTCAGAGTTTGGTCGTGTGCTTGTTGCGAAGGCTACGTGGGAAAGATGACGGTATGTATATACCTTGTTAGCCGGCCATATATTTGTTAACATATCTGAACTTGGATGTGTAATATGAACTGACATGTTCTGTTGGCAGTTGTCAATGCTGGTATAGCTGGTTGTTGTACTGGTGTTGCTTTGAGCTTTCCAGGTATTTACATTGAACTTTTTTTTTTTTACTTTTCTTGCTTACTATTGTTCTCATTTCTCTTGGATGAGTATTTGCAGTCTTGGTTGTGTGGTAACTGTTGTTGCTGTGTGTAGTGTGTAACTCTCCTCGTCGTTAGATTCATGTGTTCATCTTGGATAGAATATCAGTTATTCATGGAATTTTTATGAGGGTGGATTCATGTGTTCTATGAACTGCTTGGATTGAGATAGCTAGTGTCATGTTTGGTTAGAATTCTATCTTTTGGAGGATGAATCTTAAATGTTCCATTTTTGGTGTACATAGATGCAATTAGAACTTGTGTTCTTGAAAGAATTGGAAGCAATCTATTTCAAGGGTTAGACACTGAGGATGAAATGAAAAAGGGTCCATGAACCTTGCCTCATGAGTTCATCCTGCATTATTTTTACAGTCAGCGAAACTAAATCTTTCTTGCATTGTTTTGCGCTGACTAGTGGTTAGCCCAAGTTTTATCAGATAATTCATTTCTGCTAATGAATTGTGAAGTGGACTAGTGGTTTATAAACATGCTCAGTTGCACATGGTACTCAATTTCATAAATTGCCATCAGCACCTTCTTTGAGAGAAACGATACCCTTCTTTTACAAAGAAAACAAATGTTTTGATAAATCATAGTTTGATGGGGATCGTGACCAGCACTTGGCTAGTGATACACTAGAAACATTTTTATGTGTTTCGCTTGTTAGTTTGCTATGCATGTTTCATTGCTTTCTGGCACTAGCCATGCATAGTGATTATCAATGGCTATAACTGCATTACATTTTAGTGCTCAACTGTTAGTATGTGGCCAGTTGTTTCAAGTTCTGGAGGAAGTGGGTATTTGTCCATGTGCTGCCCTGAACTGCTATTTGGAGTCCCATTATTCTAAAACTCATTCAGTTCTTGGGGATTTTGTCTTATAATAATTATCTTACATGTTTGCTTTTCTTTTATCAGGAGCGCCACAAGCGCTGCTTCAAAGCTGTGCCACCTTTGCAGCATTCTCATGCATTATGGAGGGGCTCAATAAGCAGCAGGCTGCAATGGCTCGGACACTTGGCGAGACTGCCGTGACGGTCGTGCATGAAAAAGGCGGTGTTCTGCCCCCGTTCACGCTGCCACCAATTCTTGATGCATCTGATGCTTTAGCTTCATGCTGCTTAGCGTTAGTAAAGCCTAAGCACTAGACTACATAATAGAGGGCGTGAGAGATGGTGAAGAAAGGTGACATCAATCTTCGGTTCTTTATTGTGTTGACCCTAGCTTATGTAAATTTTGTTTTTGGACGTGTAACGTGCCTAAAATCCAGATTTGCTTCATCTGGCCACTTTTCCCTTGAGATGTGTTAACGTTTGTAGCATGCCCTTGTGGATTCTGCTGGGTCTGGCATATTTATATGGGATAAAGATCATAAATATTTGCCTGAATGTTCGGCTTCTTTTCGGCATTTTGCATAAGTGAAGTCACTGAAGTGACAATTTTTTTTCAGAATGTAAAGTAGGGATGCAAGTTTTGTTGGGTTACCCAGCTACTCGATAAAAAAAAAGGTGTTATTGCCCTATATGAGCTAGCCGAGTGTCCCTCTTGGAGAGGTGCCCTTAGTCTCTTCTTGAAGGAGCCGGCCTATCGCTTGTGTCCTCCGCAGGTGCTCTATTATATTGCTCTATAAGTGTATCTTTACAGTGACAAATTTTGGCCTTGACAGTACTGCCTGTATTTTTTATCTATTTCCAGTTCCGAATTTTGGCCTCTACAGTATTTCCTGTATTCTCCGTGGGTTAAGCTATCTCCAACAGCCCAAACCCAAATACAAGGCCCATTTTAAGGATTGGGTCACAAACAGTCACGGGATCACCGATCCAAAATTTCCTTTCTCCAACAGCGAACCCAAAATTTCCTCTACAGGAACAAAATATCTACCGTCTGCTCCCCCATTCCTCTCCCTCCAACTCTCCAGAAATCTCTCCCTCTCTCCATGACCGGTGGCGGTGCACCCGTGCGTGCGCGCGCACTCTCTCCCTCTCCCGATGTGGCAGCGCACTGGGCGGCCTCCAGCGTGGTGGCGCGCCTCGGCGGCGGCTAGCCCCCTCCTCGCCCCTCTCCTCCTCCAGACGTGCGCCTCTCTCTCTCTCTCTCTCTCTCCCTTTCCCTCCACCGGCCCCCTGCGGTGCTCGCCCGCCGGCGCTCCGGTGCGGCCAGGCCTCGGCGGTGTCCATAGCCGCGACCGGGCCTCCGCGGTGCCCGCCCCCCGGCATCGGGCCTCGCCGTCGTCGTCGGGCCCCCTAGATCCGGCGAGGCAGCCAAGCCGCGCGGCTCCGGAGGTGCTCCCACGGCGCTGCCTGACTCCCTCCCTGCCTCGCCGTCGTCGTCGGGCCCCCCTCGCCGGCGAGCTCCCTCCCCTGCGCGGTCGCGCCGGACTCCCGCTCCCGCCTTGCCTCCTTCACGCCATCACGCCACAGAGATATGGGTCGAGGAGAGAGAAGACATTTTTTATGTTTCCTTTGGGCTAGTAGCCAAAATGTGTCGTGTGGTTGGGTCACCCGTTGGAGCCGGTATTTGATAGGCAAAGCACTGTGCGAGACTCATTTTTGGGTTTGGGTAGCTCTGTTGGAGTCAGTCTTACGAGGGCTAAAGTTTAGCCCGCGTCACATCAGATGTTCGGATGCTAACTAAGAGAATTAAACATGAGCTAATTATAAAACTAATTGCACAAGAGGAGACTAAATAACAAAATAAATCTATTAAGCCTAATTAATCCATCATTAGTAAATGTGTCACGACAGCACCACCTTGTCAAACCAGGTTACTCCTAGTTGGTACTCCCTCGGACCCTCTACACGCGTCAAATAAATGTGTTACTGTAGTTCTTTAGCGTGGGTCCCAGCCTATACCGAGTACATCAGCCATCCATCCGTCACCTCCCTGTCATCCACTATGAATAATAAAAAAGTAAAAAAAACAGCCGGGGGGAAGACGAAAAATCTCCAGAGGCTTATCCTCTCACGGGTGGTCACAGACGGAGGAAACATAACCATCCTCCTCTCCGTCTCCGTCGGGCTCCCATCTCCCCGTCTCCATCTCCTTCGCCTCCCCATCTCCCCGTCTTCCATCTCCTACAACATCGGGCATGGCTGGCGCTGGGCGGCGCCGCCCCCTCAACCGCCTAGCCTGGATCCGCTGCCGTACCTGGTCGAAGCAGCGCGGCGCAAAGTTGGGAGGCAGCAGCAGCGAAAGCGATGGGAACCCCGAGCCCGTTGTCAAGCCGGTGGTCCACGACGGCGATGTGGCCTCCAAGCATGCCCTGAAGCTGGGGGGCGACGACGACGGCGGGACATGCTCCCCCAAGTTAGGGAGCAGCGGCCACAATGTTAGTCCGAAGCGTGCCATCGAGGTTGAAGACGGAGGCGACGGCGGCAGCTGCAGTCCCAACATGGGTACCTGTGGCTGCGATGGGAGCCAGAAGCACCTCCATCCTCCGGTGGTGCGTTCAAATCCAGAAGGAGCTTGTCCATGTGAACGACCGGTGAATGTTTGAAATGAAACAGGCAAGATTAGCTAGCTGGCTTTATTGGCATGGAGGAAGATTTACAGAATGGCGCGTGCTTCGAATTTTTTGTTTTCGCATGTCTTTGTAAAAAAGCGTGAACTGTATTTTTGGCGCCGTCTCGTGCAGTGCGTTTTGTTTGAAGTTAAAAAAACGCCAGCTTAAGTTCGATCAATTAAAAAAATATTAATATTTATATATCAAATAAATATTATTAGATTAATTATAAAATATAATTTTACAGAAAATTATTTTAGAACCATAAATATAAATATTATTCACTAGAAATTTGACTATTTTTATTAGTACGTAACACGTAGTCGTATTCTTGTGTGTAGCTGTATTCTTGCGTGGACGGAGAGTGAGTACCTCTAGTCCTTCCCCTTTTCTCCTCTGTGCGTGAGCGTGACGTCAACTATAAAAAGAGCAAAAGAGACCCGGTCTCTTCCCCCAATCCACCCGTGCCCTTTACACCTTCTCCCATGATTCAAACTCTGCCTCTGGAACAAACTCTGCCCCTTTACACCTTCTTCTATGATTCAAAATCTGCCTCTGGAACAAACTCTGCCTCTGGAACAGAGGCTCGCCTTCCCCACCACCGCCGAAATGGAGCACGCCGGTGGCGTCTTCGCTGGGGGCGGGCGCTCCAATGCGGCGGGGTACCTCCGCACCGGCGCCGTAAGCCCTGTGGCTGGCGTCGCTCCGAACCACGTCGCGTGCTCGCACGTGAAGTGACCCTCCGTCCCCAAGTCGTGCGGCATCACCTGCTCCGCCGAGCCCTCGTCCTCGGCCACCGGGAGTGCCTTCCTCTCCATCGGCGCCTCAGGCCACGTAGGCTCATTGCTAAATGGGTCTCTCTTCCCCAACTTATCGCGCAGCTCCTACTACACCACCTTCTACACGGGCACCCCAACTAAAGCGGCATCCGTCTGCTCCTGCTGCGCCGCGAGCACGTCCTCTCCCACCGATTCTGAGGGCACCGTCTCCTCATGTTTCCTTATCTTCCCCAGCCCGACGACTCTGCACTCCTTGGGAACGTCGATGCAGGACGAGCAATCGAAGCGGCAATCCTAGAGGCGACCGCGTGCTCATCGGTGTTGGAGGCCGCGTTCGCGTGTTTCTTCATACTGCCCTCTGAGACTGTGTGCGTTCATCGACGAAGGGACCTGCATTCGAGGGCTCTTCGGCGAAGGAAGCTTCAATCGCGACCTCATACTGCTTCGCCCCGATCGTCAATGCGTCGGCAATCCGCACGGCCACTCTGCGCTTCACCGGCCCCGGGAGCTCATCAAGGATGGAATCCGCTCGCCGCAACTCCTGCTTCTCCATCGTTAGCTCCACGCGCTGCTCGTCGACCAGTTAGATCGCCTACCTCTACGCCGTTCCCGCGCACATGGATTTGCCATAGTTGCGGCTTTCCTGAAGAAATCACTTGGTGAGATGGAATATGCTCCCCCAGCCTATGCTACCTGGCATACCTCCCTGGCTCTAGGCGCTTCTTATCGGCCAATGTGTGGTTCCTCCTCTTACCCAATGTGACCCAAAGCTTGTCCGTGATGGCCCTCTTCTCTAGCAGCGCGGCCCCGGAATTCTTCATCGGCGAGTTCCACCTGCTGCGCCCCCACCCACCAGCCACGTCCCCACCCCCTACTTGTGCTACTTCCCTTATCTCCCCGTTTCTGAGCCCTCCTCGGCCACTGCAAGCGCCTACCTCTGCACCTTAGCCGCAAGTCCCGTGGCTGCACCCACCATTGGCGCTGTCGATTGAGGAGTCATCTGCTTCCTCGACTCGCTAGTGAAGGAGTCATCCACTGAGTCGCTGGATTTACACCTTGCCTTCCTCTGCGACGCCGTGAATGCGTCAAGTTTGCCAGTGAAGCAAGGGAATCTTCACCGGCGCCGCAACTGCGGCACTGAATTGGGAGCATTTTGCAAGAATGTGTCTCCTATGTGCCTTCATAGGGCAGGGTGTTTCAAACTCCCAACCCAAGTCAGTTTGCCCTGCAAGCGCAAAAATCGGATGGTGAAGATTTGGCAGAGAGTGAGCTTCTTACTTCTACTACAGTGCTTGTTCATAGGATATTATGCTGCTAGAGAAGGTCAGAAGATGAAGCGATTGGTCAATGCCGACTGGATGGTGAACATTTGGCAGAGAGTGAGCTTCTTACTTCTGCTACAATCATTGTTCGTAGCATATTATGAAGTGCTATAAGGTTGTCGAAGAGATAACCAAGATCTTCAAGTGAATTTTTGGAGATGTGGCTAAAAATGAGATTGAATAGAAAATATAGGTTTAGTTTGATGGACAAATAAGATATGTTTAGTTTTGCGGATGTTTTTTGGATGACCAGTTTTGCTGATGTTTTCTGGATGACAAGTTCTACTGATATTCATATAGTTCGGTACAACTAAAATCTACGATAGCTCTTTCGTTGGATACATCTGTTCTTCTCTTAGTGTAGTTTTTTTATAATTCTTAGTTCTTCTCATCTTCATTATTAAATAGGATGTATTTGAATGTTTTTATTTAAAAAGAACATGAATTTAGCATTTTTGTACAATCCTTAGTGATATGCTAAGTTGTGGTTCTTCGTATGTGTATGCTGACAAGCAAAATTGTATTTTATAGTATTGATGTTACAAGCTTATTGTATAATATTAGGTTCAATAGGAGGTCAATGAAGCTCATGCTTGCCATCCTACCTTGTCATTAAGCATCTCTAAGGCCTTAGATATATAATATCTTGCATATTGCTTCCAACCATCGATGTTTGACGGTAATATGTTAGCAACCAGGTAGCTATGAAGATAGAATGGAGGATAATAAGAGGATCGGTAGGGGATTGGAGAGTAAGAAGAACGGTAAGGAAGGAGTTCAGAGTTTCTTTTAGATCAGAGGAAAGTTTTCTTTAGAACAGAGAAAAGTTTAGGTAGGAGTCTGATTACAATATTCTTGATTGATCCTCTTTACCTCTCTCAGCCAAGGGTAGATATACTACTCCATATATGGGCCCAGCTCAACCAGTAAAGGCACGCAGGCCCAAGTACTAAACCCATTAGCTATTACTATTAGTAGCCCAGGTACCTGACATTCTCCCCCGCTTAAGCAACAGCTGTTATTGTGGCAGAACCACCCAATTTAACTTAATGCCAAGAGTACTTGTCAGCCATTTGACACTAAATAAACAAGAGACTAAGTTAAACCCGGCAATCTATCGAGTACATCCAATGGGAGAACTAAAAAATCCACGTTGTCATCGGGATCATAAACAAGTGAATAAAGCTTACAATATTCTTAACCATTTCATACATCACAAGATTATAAAATCGGAGTTATTACAAAACAAATTTCATGAAAAGCAACGGAAGAAAGGTCATTTTACAAAAAGCGGAAGTTAAACAATTTTGAATATTGAAGCAGAAGTAGACTTATAAGAATAAAATGATACAATCGTGACGATAAAGGAAGCCTTGATGAGCCCACCAGGAGGTATCCACACACAGCAACAGTTAGCTCCAGCATCCACCTATTACCTGCAACAGGGGGAATAAAACCCTGAGTACACAATATACTTCGCAAGACTTACCCGACTAGGTGGGAGTGGTCTCCCGACTCTCAAGGATATGCAGGGAGATATTTGGATAGCTATTTAGTTCTTTTTGCAGAGAAGCATTACTAATAGTGCATCATTGTATTCAAAGTTTAAGCAGTCAGATCAAGTTCATTACTTCACCATTCTAGGTAAGCACATGTACTACCTTCAAGCATGTGGTAAGCAATCAGAATATATCTCATCTGTCGGTGCGAAAAGTGACCAATAAGTAAATATTTGTAGTTTTGTCGTGCGTTGTAATCAGATGTGGCCTAGCACTCAATGACATATGATTTATACTGGTTTAGGCAACATGTCCTATGTCCAGTTTCAGTCGGTCGGTGACTTTATTCCTGAGCCCAGGTGCTCGAAGTTTGCTGTGAGGTTACAAACGAGTAGGAATAAGAAAGGGGGTGTTAAAGGCCTGGTCGGACTCTGAACCAAAGGGCTGAGAGTGACAAGGGCTCTAACATGCGCTAAGTATTGGAGCGTATGCTCTGTGTAGCTTTAGAGTTCTAAAGCTATTGAGCTATTCGATTTCTCAGGTCATCGAGTGCTCGAATTGTCTAGCTTGTCTTTTTTGAGGAAAGCCAGAGAGCCAGAGAGCTTTTTAGGAGAGAGCTCATCCCCTTTTATAGTCGAAGGGGATGGCCTTACAAGTCAGAGAAATAGAGAGAATGTATATGTGTGCTACCTAGTCTTGTTGCCCACGCTGTCGGATACGAGACGGTTGTCGGTGCTCACAATACTATTTATGTCCAGATGCATGTGGCAGGCTCTACCGTGTTCGCCTGATATGGCAAACATCGGCGCCTACAATACTGTTTGTGGTCTGACATGCCAGGAAGGTTGCATAGTGCCTATCTGGCATGGCCTAGTGGCACCGTCCTGTAGGTGCGCAGGGTATGGCAGGGTATGGTCCTCGGTATTGCGGTTTGACTTGAGCGCCTTACCTTATCTGCTCCGCCTGATCCCCGGGCCCTCACCGAGCGGGCGTCCCCGGTCGGTCGTTCCCAGTCGGCCCTGGCCGTGTTGGTCGGGGAAGAACCATGAGTAGAGGTCTGGCGTATCCCTGGTCAGAAAAAGAGGTTAGAGTCGGACTGTATGCCCACCTTGGTCAGGCCTTCCGGTCAAGGACCGAATCGTTCTCCCGGCCTATCATTATGTATCTAGGCCAGCTCGGGAGGCACGTGTTGTCGCTATACCGTCTGTTGGGCCGAGTTTTTGCAAGGAAGCGGGTCCATTGGGGACCCTGGGTTTATGAACCCGATAGGAGCCCCCGAGCCCTTTTGGGACTTCTATGAAGTCATGAAGGGATTGTTTACACTCGTTTCACGTGTGCACCCAGTGGGTGTAAGATCGTGGGTCACCGTTGAACGAGACGGAGCGTAAACCCGA